ATTTACAAAGAATAAGTATAAGAAAACATATCAATATTGCAAAAAAAGAAATAAATAGTAACTTAAAAAAATTAAAAATTTGTTTTATGTTTCCGTAAACTTAAAAATCATGTTTCTACTTATTTCATTATTATGTTACGTATATGTATATAGAACGAAAATATTTTTTATGACATTTATACACTTCCCTTGTTCTAAGTGGCCCGCTAGCCAATAAGGTAAAAGCTATGTTGGCCAATGCGGCTTTAGGGTAGGTGCTACGGTGGGTAAGGGGGTCAAGGGGCAAAAGGGACATATGCCTCTGCTTCTGTTGCTCGGTGTGGCACTGTGCAAGCGATACAATAATTGCTCTGGGCCGTCGTTGCCGTCATTGTTGCGGGTTTGGCATGAATTACAAAAAAAAAGACCCACAACAAGAGCCACGAAAAAAGGAATAAAGAAAAGAAATAGCAAACAACAACAAAGAGCGAGTACAACAAAACAAGAACTGGGCATACAAAGCCGCCATTCATTTCATAGCCGGCGTTTGCAAACACACACACACACACGCACACACACAGCAATGTGTTTACACACACGACCCTGTCATGCAATGGTCACAGGGCTTCAGAGCACGAGCGGGAGTCGGACCTGGAGCTGACCAAGCGAACGTGTTCTGTTCGATCAGACAACAACGCTGGCACCACCAACACCACTTGCACCACCACCAACACCAAGAAGGTGACCGCTGTTGTTGTCATTGGGTATACACACGTGTGTATGTGTGTTTGTGTGTGTGTGAGTGCCTCAATCATGTAATTATTTCCTCCGCAACCACTTTACCAATACCAATGCGTCCGGGCAGCAAAGTGACCAACACATCCATGCACACACACACACACAGGAATCGGCGTCGACAAATGATATTACAAGTGGGGCCAACCTGGCAGGCAATGAAAAAAAATACAAAAAAGAAAAAAAAAACAGTCGAAACTGGTAGCGTGTTTCGCTTTGAGTTTTGTTCTCTCTTTGTACATTTTTTACGCTAAGCAAACAACAGAACAGAAAGAGAACAACTAGGGAATCAAGAAAGAACTGCTAGAGCCAGAACATCGAATTCCTAATACCCTGACAGAATATTGAAGGGCATATTTAATAAATTAGTGAAATTAGTGGTAGAGCTGATTGAATTTGAAAAATTTATGACTATTAAAGTTAGAGAATTACAGTTAAAGAATTTTTTATATTTCAAAAATGGTCTACTTTTGATTTATATTATCTGCTATACATATATTCTATTTAAAATATATTTATATTTATTTTCATTTAAATTCTGTCYGAAAGCTATTCTCCAAGTATACGCGTTACATTCCCAATGGCAGAGCTGTCTTACCCTAAGTCTCACCTTGGTAAGAGCATAAAAAGTACAACAAAAAAAGACGCAAAAAAAAAACAGAACAGTCTGCATATATGTAGTATGTGTGTATCTTTGCGATACATAAAAAACTGTGTTTCGTGTTTTTGTGTTACTCAATTTAATTCAGGTAAAATATACATATATACATATATATATATTTTTTTTCGTCCAGGCCCGCAGCGCTCTTAAACTTTGGTCACGAACATGAAAAAGCGTCGTTTCCGTCGAATTGCTCGAAAATGGTTGACGGTTGATTGGTTCAGTTTTTGGTCAGAGGCCTCAGGTAGAGGCCAATGTCTAGACGAATCGAGTCTCGATTCAAAATGGCAGCCAAACTAAGTTTGAATAGTGAATACTAAATATGAATATGAGTGCGAGTGATTTAGTTCGTAGGGCCAAAATATGAAAGGAAAACCGCAACTAGCAAAAGGAAAAAAAAAATAAATAAAAAACCAAAACGAAATACATAAAATAATAGAAAATGTAATTATGTTTATAATTTCACTCGTAATGCTTTTATCTCTGCTTTTGCAGCTTGTTTTCGTGCCCATTCAAAAAGAGTCGAAAACAAGGCTGAGAAAAAATGTGGCCAACCAAAGTAGCTAACAAAAATTCAATGGAAAATTGAAATGGCCAAAACGAAATGGCTTAAATAGCTAGCTGTTCCATTTGCGGCTTTCAGCCTTCAACCTTCGCACACTTTTCAGCCCGGCCGTAAATAAATACGTATATTATAATGGCATTTAAATATGTTTTGCGGTTCCAGACTTCATTGCATTTGATATATGTATGTATAAATACGTATTTTGTTTGTATTCTGCTTTGTTTTGAGGTTGGTTATTGGAACATTCCGAGCCTCCACGAATGCAATTTGCTGTACTTATCTAGCCAATTTAAAATGTTGTGGTTTTGATGTTGCACAATGGTAAGAAACAGTTTCAACTTACTTATGGAGCTATCACCTGAAAAATAAAAAAGAAAAATTATTATTTTTCTATCAATATTGTGATGAGCTTATTAAATATTAATTTTAAATTAATTACTATAAATATATCATAGAGAAATTATTAATGTGAAAACTGGCGTATTTTTAATGGCAAACATTTATATTTACATAGAATCAGCTGTTTTTTTTTTTTTTGAATGAGTTATGAATAGGTTGTCTAAGGGATATTCCAGAGTATTTTCATTTAAATGACATTTAAAGTGTACTCAAAGATCCCAAATTAAATTCGATCATCAATCAACTTTCAAGGGACAAATAGTTTGTAAATCCGAAAAAATTATACATTCTTCCAAATTCTATTCTTTATCATATTATTATTCATTGCTCATAAATAAAGTTTTGAAGTCGAAAGTCCTCTTTTCGGAAGAGATTTTCTTAAGCAAATAAAACTTAGGAAATACTTTCTCTTTGGATATAATTTATTTTTATATAAGACAGGATAATCTTTAATTTGAGAAAATCTTTAGAGTAATCAAACTTTTTTAAGTATTTATTATAAATTTATTTTTATTATTATTAACTGTTTTTGCGATTTTATTCATAACAAAAATATATTTTAAAGTTTTTGAAATACATTAATATTATTATTTAATATCAATAACTAAGTGTTTTGATTGAATATTGAAGATTTCAGCTATATCTCTTTCAAGATATATCTGTATTCAAAACCTGTGCTTAGTACTAACTTTTCCAGCTGTTAAGAGAGAATATGCAACTTCAATCGACTTCAATCGATTTACTGTCTTGCTGAGCCACTTTATACTAAGACAATCCGTAGCTCATAAGAAACTTTCTTGTACACTTGGAGCGAAGTTTGTGGCTACTTACTCGCTGGCAAGTAAGTATTTTGAAATTGAGCACAAAAGTGGAAAATAATTAACCCCAAACTTGAGAGCGGAAGTTTCAAGTTGTGTAGCCACTGATGCTGCATGTGAGCCGGGCCATAGTTGAAGCTGATAGGGCAACACATGCAGCACGTAACGAGCGGTCAAGCAAATGGCCAGAGTGACCAGGCCGGGCCGGGCCGGGACTGGCCGCTTCCGGAGTCAGCGACATCAGCAAAATATTAAACAACTTGCAAGCCAAAGTAATTGAGAAGTTTTCCATGCTTCGATAGCTGAGGGAGAAACCCGACTCAAACTAAATAGCGAAGATGTCTTAAGGCGGGCATCGTGCCTTGTCTGCCAGTACATTATTTGCACAAAAATGAAGCGAGCGCCCAACCGAAATATCAAAGGAGTAATCCGCTCGGAGTTTGAGTGCCTCGCAAAATAAAATCATGCGCTTGGAAATAATAGCGTCTGGGCTGGCAATAATTTCTGGCTGGGCGTGGAGCCAAGTCTATGGCAGCATCATGAGCAACAGTCAAATATATGAATTGAGATATTTTTGCCAGCAAAGGGCGGCAGCTGCGTGATTAGCAAGTATTCGAATAGATAATAAGTAAATATGAGTATTTCTATTTATTGCAGCTGGCCTGAAGCCCATCAAATGTGACTGGCATTTTCCTAGGAATAGCCTAAGAGATGCTTTAACAGTAAATTGCTCATTAGCTTTAAAGATGCAATCGATCCATAGCTCGACTACTAAATTATGGCGGAGTTGGAATATCAGTTGAAGTTAGAAATTTTGTAAGTTAGAGTAGCGTAGATTATTGTATTTATTATTATATTTTGTATAGTAAGGTGATTGTTAAGTGACGAAGAAGAAGATTATATTACACCTAGAAATCAAAATTGTTCTCAATATAAAGAAATTGATTTTAATATTCTCATGATCATTTCATGGTTATTTAATTAATAATAATAATTAAATAATATTAATAAGTGTTAAAAGAGAATTAATAATNAAATATTTATTTATCAAATATATATAATTTACTGGATTGAGATAATTTTTATTTTTTAAATTCTGATACGAATAGAATATATATGATGCTTATATTTATAAATACTGTTTTCACACATTTTTGTATTCCTACATATATAGAAATTATATTATAGTCTAAGCTGATATAATATTCACATATTTGTTCAAAATGCTGGGTTAATGTCTAAATTCAATTTAAAATATATAATCAGTTTCTGAAGCATGTTTAAAGGCCATTTGCGTAATTGAAAAACGCAAAATGGACAGCTAATGTGTAGGAACATATTAAAATGTAAGTGAAGTTTAAAGTTGTTTTGTTGTGGGCTCTGCACAGGCAACAACAGTCGAAGGCAAAGCCAAACGCAGACGCAGACGCAGAGCAATGGCAACGCCTTGGTCAGTTCAAAATGATAGCATTGCGCTTGTTGTTTATGTTGTTGTTGTTGCTGTTGCTGTTGCCCCGTAGCTGACTGACAGTAGGTGTGACCAGTCTACTCATTCATTCTGACAGTTTTCCCACCCACTCTTGCACAAAACGCAATTTGTTGGATTGTAGGTTGCGCCCTCTAAGCACGAAAGGTAAAAGTGCCGGCCATATCGAAATATATATGTGTGTGTGTGTGTGTGTGTGTATGCCTCAACGTATATCAGTGTGTAAGAGTGTGTGTGAACCACCACCGCTGCGGCTTTGCCTACAGCCCGCTCTGGCTTCGACTGGGCGGGGGGTAGTTGGGTGGGTTGCTTGTGGCGCCACAAACAGCATTTTTTTTCTTGTAATTTTTTTTTTTTTTTCGTTTCTTTTTTGGTTTTTGCAGTTGCCAGTCGCGTGTCTCGCTGCGTATTTGAATTCTGGTTTTTCTTGGCTTTTCATTTTGGGGTTTTCTTTTAGGCTGCGCTTGCAACTAATTTTCATTTCCAGCACGGTGCACCTTTTGCCTGGCAAATCTTATTAAAAAGTGAACAGTGCGATAAAATTGAATTTGCATTCAAAAGCCATTAACCGCAGCAGTCGCAGTTGTTGTTGTTGCTGCTGTTGTTGTTGCTGACAGACGTTGTCCTTGCATCCACAAATTAAGCAGGATACGAGAGCTCTGCTTGCCTGACTCGCAGCTTTAATATCGAAGCTTCTCAATTCGTGGATTTTCGCTGTATTTAAAATTCGCGCTAAAAAATTAATATTTCACGCACATTCGGCAAAATCAGTGGCAGCTGCTAATGGCGTTTTATTTATATATATATTATTTTGTTTTTAATTTTTATTTTCAATACGCCATTGGAACGTGCCATCGATAAATATTGCTGCCGAAATTATTATACAATAAATACAGCAACTCACGTGGAAAAACATTATTTTAATTGCATATCAATTTCACGCTCTTTAACAAAAGCAACGCAAGGCAATTTGACCAATCATCTGAACGAATCGTTTACACACACACACACACACATTGTCAGACAGCCAGCCAGACAGATACCGATACAGATAGAGATAGAGATACCCACCCACCTGGATACCATTTTGATGCCAATTGACATTCAAAATTAGAGCTAAACGTTCTCCAATTACCCAGAGCACGGAAGCATGTAACCATGGAGGTGATTGCCAGCATTTGCCTGGGGGTTTGGCTTATGGCTAATGTAACTCCAATTGGAACTATTTTGCTGGTTCATAAATGGCCCACTTATTACAATATTTATATGGCTGCTCGTGTAGGAATATCAATTAATAACTGTACTCTTGTAATTACACTCTCGACTCAACTGAATGTGTGTTTAATTGAATTTCTACCTGTGTTTTCAGTTATTAATTTATTTGCGCTCGCCTCAATTATAAAACATAATCCATAAAATTCAAATGCAACACGTTGCATTTATAAGCGAAATTTGTTGCAGCTGTCTGCATTGGTTTTAATTACGAGACATTCATAGGCATATAAACTAGAAATTAAATCGTTTTTATAAAAGAATTTTCAACAGACACTCTGCTACTACTAAAACTATACCAATTAAAACTAATCCCGTTTATAAAATAAATAAATAAATATTGCGTGCAGCAAACCCTTTTTGTCGATTGGATTTTATGTTATTTTAATTTTTATTTATTTGTTGTCTTATTTGAATTTATTTACTTATATGAAATTTAATATTTCATAGTAAATACTGCCTTAAGAAATATTATCAAAATTATCTTCTATCGGGCAAAGAAGCCGAATGGTAAGGGTTTATGGAAAAATATACAAATTATGGACTTTTGGGTTTTCTTTGTTCTCATAGCCAATTTTTATTTCCTCAAAAGACACTTACGAAAAAATGAGAAATATCTTGATTTGTTTGTATGATTTAATTTGTATGCGTAATGAAAGTGAGCACCCACTCATTTTTCACGCTACTATATATCTACAATTATCCTTAGCTTTCATTATTTTTGACTAGATGGAGTGAAATTAGCTAATATTTTAATACTCACAGAAAGAAAGACAATAGAATTACTTCCATTTAGTGAATATTTATATTATATATTGTAATTATTTTCTGTTTTATTCAATATTAACATTTTTATCAATTTATCAAAAAATAAGACTCTGCTCATTTTGCAAAAAATTCAAAATGTATAGGGAAAACCATTTACACAGAAAAAATCCTAACTTTTTCGCACAATATTCTTAGACATATAAACTTAATCTCAAATACAGCAACACGAAAAGCTAAGCAAACAACAACAATCTTGTCAGTCAACATATTTTATTTATTAGAATGCTTTGTGTCAAGTGTGCAGCTCGTAATCAACAGCCCAATTTCAATTCCAAATGAACTGCATCCGTTGTATCCCATCGATCACATCGATAAATGTGGCTGACATAATTATTGCAGCTTGGCAGAAAGGCGAACGCGAAATACCAATAACAAGACGTCCGAAATAAAAATGTCAGTTTAAATAAAGCAACGAAAAAAGAAAAAGCGCCGATGCAAATCAATCAGACTTGGAATTGAACGAAAGGGCAACGTTGATGTATTGGCCGGGCTTTGTGTTTCTCTGATTTCTGTTGATTGCCGATTGGGCTGACGAACTGACTGACGGACTGGCTG